TCTACTTGCTTGGCTTATGTAGGTGTACAGTAACATTCTTCCATCACAGAAACTGCACAGTTTGTCTCATCCAAGTCCTGCCCTCCCTCATTCATCCCCAGCTTGCATCCATCCCAGGCTCCTAATAAGGAGGCAGCTCACACAGCTTCTGGCATCTTGTCCACAAACAGACAAGATCCCACATGCCAGGGTTGCACATGGGGAAGGGAGGGTCTAGTGGCAGACACGGCATGAAGCAACAGCTACAGATCCTCTTCCAGAGGGGTCCCTTTGAGCATCACAACTCCTCTCGGAGAGCCCACATCAAAGCATCATATCACAGATTAAGACCACCAGCTGCATCCAGCACATGAGGTCCGGAGGCAGGAAGAGACACTCCAGTGATGTCTGCATGTTGCCAGCACCATGGTGAGGAAGCACAAAGGCAGGTGCCGGTGCAGAGCAACTTGCCCAAGGCAGGTGCAGCAGCAGAACAGCATGGGGGTGATAATGAGAGCCAGCTCCAACAGGTACACACAGGCATGCAGCACTCTGCAAAGCTGTGCCACCCCCCTCCCTGAGCTTTAGCCACTGCAGGTGTGACAACATGCACCTGGGCTTCATTAGGCTTGCCCAAGCCTATGTATGTAAGCAATCCTATCATCCCCAGTCCTTGTTTTTAGGACTGCTTTCCATTCCACAATATAGACACTCAAACACTGCCCAGAGGTGGGAAGGGAAAGGAGACAGACAGCCACACTAGTCTTTTCTTAACATGCCTGTAAGGGATCAACAGCAAAACAGCCTTTGAGTTTAAATGTTTTGGCCCTGTATTTGCATGATGCATTAGGAGACATTAGGAGACTGGTGCAACCTTTGCTGCATTCACAAGACAGCAAGGTACAACTGTGAATAGGCTCTGCAATGCAGGGATAGATAGGAAAAGAGCCGCCAAAGGGGGACAACAGCATCTCACTGCAGAGAATTGCTCCAGTGCAGTGCCAAACAGCCAAATGCAAGTACTAAAATCCAGGTCACAAGAGTATAATCTCATATTCCTGGGTAGGACAGATTTGCACCTCCAGTCACCAGCAGTTGCAAATCCAACAGTTAACATACCCTCAGGTGGTGTTACTCAGCCTGGGCTTCCACAGCACTTCATCCTTCCCTTTCCTACCTGTGCTGAGCCCCTCATGGCCTCCTCCTAGTTTACTACCCTTGCTAAGCAGTCAGTGGCTGGGTTGATCTGTAAATTGGAGGTAAAGCAGCTTAACAATACTAAGGAACTCTGTAGCAAAGGAAGCAGCTGAATTGCTCTTCCTTGTGCTAATTGCACAACCTTGTGCACTGGGTCACCCTTCTCCCATTCAGAGCCCTGTGGGGCCGCAGGAGGTGCTGCTGCTCAGCATGCTTAGAGCGCAGCAGAAGTCAGTGTAAAGCGAGAACACCAGAGCCAAGAATTTCTTCCTCTGCAGTTAAGAAAATGCTGTCTGCAGAGACAGGAATCTCACCCTGCGCAGCCCCCCCAGGCAGCAGCCTCCAGGGGAGCCAGGACATAACAGCCATCCAAACTGTGCCATTCATCTTTCGTCCTTGCAAGGTCACGCTACGTGGTGCAAGCGAGTGGAGGCTACTGCAGACAGGCAGTTGCAGAAGGCTGCAAGAAATTAAGTGCGAGGCAATGAATTTGGCAGTTGCCACTCAGCAGTGGGATTAGCAAGAAGGAAAACTGGGCTTCGATGGGGTTTTTTTTGCTGCTTGTCCAACAGGATACACAGTTGCTCTGCGGAGCGTAGCGTGGGAACAGGAGAAAGGGGAAGGATGCCTCCATCTCAGGGAGACGTTCGTGTGCTGCTCCAGCAGACAGCAGCACATCGCAGCCTGGCTGTTTACACTCGCACCAGCATAATTAGAGCAGCCACTGTTAACTAGCTAACAACTCCACTGTAAACTCTGAACAATACTGAAGAATTAATCACACAATACTTCGCAGCCTTCCCTGAACGCAGCCACCAGTTTGTAGGAAACGCTGAAGCCGCCCCAGAGACTAGCTAAATTAGTCCCACAGGCTTTCTGGCAAAAAGAACAACTCGGAGAGGTACTGATCCTAAAATAAGGCCTGCCCAGGGCAGCAACCCAACAGAAACAAGTCCTTGACAAACCGCACCTTTATCACGAGGCATGAGTCAGCTCGTGTGCCCGTTGCCATCAACAAATAAAACAGAGGGATTCATTCCCAGCCAGGTCCGCTCCCTAAACCTGCAGGTTTGGGGATGAGGACAGAGGCTCTCTGGTGCCATTTGTGACAAATATTTATACTTCTCCCTCTGTTTCTGTCCATATCACTTATGCCAAAGATAGAACTGAAGACTGCATTGGAGCAGAAGAGTTTCTGAAGACTTGACCCAGTAAGAAACATGAGGGGACTGAGCCCACAAATCCCTAAGCAAGTGAGACCTGCACGTTACGCAGAGCTTGGGGGCATCCACCATCATGAGCCATAACCTGTTTAAAATAATCACATTTATATAGGGTACAAGAAGAGAAAAAACTGGAAAAGCAGCACCTCAGCTGCTGGGCTCTATGAGAGCAGACCTCCCTTCGCACCCCAAGGGCCACAGCCTGCAGGACGGGCAGCGCCGGGCTGGGGCTGCCTCCCGGGGTCAGGGCAGCTCGATTTCTCAACGGTTCTGCAACATCCTCCCACAGCATCTGCAACCTGCTGGGTCACTGCAGGTGTCCCTAGCAGAGCACATTTTTCTGATCGAGGACACAATCCTCAAAATTGTCTCTTGTGGCTAACTGTACAAGTGGAAAACACCTGACTTCCCCAGAGAGCAGGAAACTTGAACATATGCTCCTACCTCACCCACCACCACAAACCAACAGCCAGACTTCTGCACATCCATGAAGTCACAGCAGTTTCTTCCCACCTTTAAGATAGTACCCTATCCCAGTTTATCATTTAGCAGGAGTATTCCTTCTCTTTTTAGGGCATTTCAGACTGTTCTTCCCAAGCATACCAAGTTTAACTGCTGCCTTAATTAAAGCACACGCTCAATTACATGGCATTATTTGATATCATTCATTTATCTGCTGTTCCTGAAGCCTTCATGCTTTATCTATCATAAACATTACTAAGTACTAAGCTTCAGATGTGCCACGATGACTGAGTTAAGTCAACAATTGCTTCTGTACACTTCAATCATCCTCACTGCTTTTACAGCCAGATACCCACATGCATTGCTTTAACCGCATATTTGCTGGTGACTGGGTCACTCCCCTGCCTGCTGGGCACCTGCAGGTGCAAGCGACCGCCGGGACTACAGAATAAAGCACTGAAGATGAGAGGAGCAGAAGAGGAATATGAAGCCATGAAGAGAAAGACATAAGAGAAAGAATGTTGATGAGCACTACCGCATGCCTAGTTTTCCCCCAGATGTGTCTGCTTTCCTGCCTGCCAAAGCACAATCTGGCAACATTTTACCTTATACTGACTTTACGCTCAACTTGCGCCCTGACAGCTCAGACCTGGGTGTTGGCCAGGAGCCGCAGGGCTACTTGCCAGCTCACCAGAGCAGCATCCTCAGCAGAGAGCCAGGCTCAGCTGCCTGCCCTTCCCAACCACCAACTGCTGGCAGCAGCAGCAGGGCTAGGTAGTAGCAGGCATCTGCTAGAAGGTGTGCAGGAAGAAGTCAACCCCTCCGCCCCGCTGGCGATTTAGTGAGGGATGAAAAAGCAGGAGAGCTCCAAGAACAGTGCAATGATGCACAGAGCTGGAGCCCAGCAGCACAGCTGGCCTCTGCTACCGACCTGGAGCGGACTGCTTTCCCTCCCACCCTTCATCTATCTGCCTTGCCCAACACTGCACACACAGTACAGCACAGAGCCCTGAATCCAAAGGGGAGCTCACATCAGCAAAACCTGCCTCCTCCTCCTCCCTGGTTTTCAGGGCTTTGAGCCGTTGGACAGCTGCTGCCCACCGTTCACCTGCACTTTAGGGCTGTAGCAGGCACATTCTCTCCAGGCACCTTCCCAAGGCAGAGTAACTGCCTGCCTTGATTTCGGCTGGTACCAGACAAGCTGCCTTCCCCAGCTCCAGCACAGATGTTATCCTCCCACTGAGCTCCCCACCAGCATCCCTTCCCCTCTACTAGCTCATTATGCCATGATTCACAGCAGATTTATCCTCTCTGCACCTCAGCAAGGTAGAGAAGTGCTCTGGAGCCCCAAACCACCCTAACCCCCCAAACCTTCAGAGCCTCTCATAAGAGGCCCTAAAGCCTCTCATAAATGCAGCTCCTCCTTCTCCTGCTCCACCAGGGATGAGTCTGCAAAGGCTCTAAAGTCAGCACTGAAACTTCAGGGAAAACTTGGCCTTCAGACAAAACTCTTCCTTCCCTAATTCAGCAGGGGTTGGCACAAGCAGCTAGCTTAATACACCCTTCGGTAACTTCAAGCAACAAACACCAGTAAGTGGAAGAGATGCCATGCTCTGGCAGCCAGACCCTCGGCTGAAGCGCGGAGCGACATGCTCGGCACAGTGCTGCCTCTAATCTCAGCCAAGGTCTGAGCCGCATAAGCTCTTGCGGTGATTGCTACCCAAACAGCGCTTCTCCCTCTAACCTCCAGAGCATCACCACACTGCTCTTTCAAACATCTCCTCTGCTGCTGCAGGGCCAGGAGCCCATGAGGACTGGAGGCTGCTCTCCAGCAAGGGAGCAAAGCCCACACAGGGGCTTAAAAGGATGTTTAAGAGCATCCACTGCAGGGCTGTCAAGGGAAGCATCAAGAGAAGACAACTAAGCAAGCTGGAAAACACTCTTCCACCACCTGGGCCAGCACTGCAGCCAGAAATCTCCATGACCTGGGTCTCCCCAGGGCTGCAGGCTCCCCACTGCTTCCACTCCAGCCTCATGAGCTGGTACCATAGCTAAAGAAAGCAAAGACCACACACGCATGGACCCAGGCCTTGCCGCTCCCCACCCCGAAGCTCCCACCGCCGGCGCAGAGGCGCTCACCCATCAGCGTCCACGCCGACCGCAGCGCTCCTGCCAGCGCGCGGACAGGGGCCCGGGCCTCACCTCATCCTCGGCGACACGT